GAAACGTAACAGATCATGGAGTCCGCGCCATCTTCGTCACTTCGCTACTTCGCTTAAATTCATCCTGTTTGATGGCATTCTATTAAAGTTCGTGAGTTCAAGAAATTTCCCAGGATCAACGTAACGCGTGCTTGTCGGCACATCACAGAATCAACGGTGTGCCGAGCTCGGCTGGTTAGGTTCGGGTTAGCTGGAGGGTTAGAGGTCAGCGGTTAGAGGTTAGCGGTTAGCATTAGTGGTTAGCGTGAGGGTAAGGTATCTGTTCCAGATCATGGGCATCACTTGAAGCCGGTCAGAACAGCATGTATGTACAATATCCTAGAATACATGATTTCCTTAATTGATCGCTTGTCAGCCGCCTTCTCAGAATGGATCTCCTTGTGGCTACTGGCTAGCGACGCGTATTTTGGCATCCCTGACAGGCCCCTACGCTCCATGATCTTCTCGGCACCTTCCGATTTCTTCTTATTCTGTGACTACGAGAGCATCGAGTCCGCTGGGATCAATTCTCCAGAGACAAATCTGATGAAAAGCGGAGACACAATTGATAGCCATGGACAGGAGTTAAGGCGCACACCAGTCCCACAATTGAGGCGGTCCGTAGGATTCCGCACCAGTGGAGTAACAGTGCTCTTCGAGTTACAGCTGTATAAAAAAAACAACCCTGGCGGCGGCGCGGTCCGACAAGCAAATTTGTTATGGCTGGATACCTCCGCCGCATAGCTCGCACCGAGCAGCGCATGAAGAATATAACTCAGCCTCTTTCTTCCAGTGACGTTAACGACGGTACGCATCATTGAAAGGTGCAGTATGCCATTTATGTACCTTGCATTCCCAGACTCCACCACAATCACACTCGCAGATTGGTATCATGAGTCTTATTCGCCATGGGCAAAAGCATGAAGGGAGACCAGTTGTCTAGATACCTCGGCCCCCACAACCATCAGGCAACCGTCCTTGTGGCAGCACAAATTTGGACTGTCATGGGGTTTGCCTGCAGTGTCTTGCCATACAATGGACCTGTGTATCTGCCATGGCTCCAATCATGCGTGATATTCAAGTTCAAGCAAGTCCTATGTCCAGTCATTATGCCACCATATACCTCATCCAATTTGGCGGGACTGGGATATATACAAGCAGTGTGAGGGAGAATGAAAAATGAGTGGGCAAAATAATAAAAACTCATTACCAGGGCCTTACACCGCCATTTGGAAAAAACATTTTGAGAATGTTTTGAGATCAATCTTTGAATAAAATGCCCGTGATGTTTACCAAACACTTCGAGAATGTTTTCAAAACAAAAAACTTCAAATGCCTTGAGCCTTTTTTGAGGTTGATATCTGCTGCATTCAGCCGGTCCTTAGACCGGCGAGTTGTCCATGTCATGCGAGAAAGGTCTAGATCAGTTTATCCAATGTCTATGTGTGCGTGTTTACATAGACCCAGCGGGTCTAGGCCGGCTAGACCCGCCGCCTGCCGAGGCGGTGCGAGAGTGATCTATGTCGTGTATGCCTACAATGCGCAGGTGCGCCTATGCATCTAGGGACACTCCAGCCTATGCCAGGTAGGTTCAGGTCAGTCCCCAAGGCGGGATCAATGAATTCGTGAGGCTTCTGGTCGACCCTGTGCATGTATTGTTAATTCTCCACAAGAAATGCCTTCGCTCCGCTCCGGCAGACTGAGTGAGTAAAACGGCTGCGGCAAGCGGCGACACGTAAATACTGCTTAAACCCCACAACAATGCCATATATGGCCTAAATTATTTCAAGTCTGATGATCCTTCTGCGGTGCCGGAGTACACATTTTGTGTTTGGCCACATACGGCCTTGACCGTAGATCTACCTTGCAGATCTCGCAGTAACACAGCACCGTCAAACTGCGTCCCGCAGCTCTCAACTTGTTACTGATGTAATTCCCACATTTGAGATCCGTGGAGGGACAAAAATAAGCGGTTCTTAAAATACTTGTAATAATGTCCTAGTCCAGTGGTACTCTGCTGCAGAGGGATATTCTCACAGCACAGGGTTTTACCGTGGTATAAGTTGGCAGAAGCTCGAAATCTTCAGGATGAAAGAGAGTATAAAGACAAAATCATATTTCAGATGCTATAAATTGAGTGCATTAAATACTGGATGAGTTTTCCAGAATGTTGAGCTGAGAGGATAACATTCAGGTGCTGGGAAGCAAAGAATATGATTGTGGTTGGAGTGGTACGGTAAGATTTTAAAAATGGAAATGTCTCCAAACCATGCTGTGCAGTCTAGTGCGACATCCGTGGCGGGCAGGTGGTTCTGGCTGAAATAGAATGTGCCTCACAGTCCCCAGGGAAGGTCATATATCAATGGTTTGACTGAGCCGACGGCGGAAAACGAAACAGGAAAACTCACATTTACATTATCTACCCTGCAGAAGCCTCCAGCCTAATATTGAAAAGTGGGGGAATGTAGGTGGCGATATGCAAAGCATGGTTTTCAAACAATGTATGCGCAAATTTTGATGTCACCGGATGCCATTGACCTGCTAGATTCATCAGCAGCGGTGGCCTGGACGAAAAAACGCGTACTATGCACCAGTGGACGTTGTGGAAAATAATACCGGATGCGGCGCGGGACCAGCCAGTGCCTTCTGAGTAAATTAGGTCAGCGAAGGATCCAAAAGGTGCAAAAACATACAAACCATGGCGGCCATTCAGCGAGAAGCGTTCATCGGAAAATGATTAGGATGTGGGGGAAAGCAAGAGGCAGAATGCGAAACCTGGTTACCAATTGCTGCATATAAATGGATGTGCTGTGGTATAGAAGACCCGGATCTTGAAACGTATCGCAGCGGCTCTGCGCACAGACACAGCCAATTTAGGATATGACAGCAGTGCAACGGAGCACGTAGTGGGAAATGCGCAGGCAGCGCAGCGCGTAGTTGGCCATGAGGCGCCAGCCTGCCCGTTGAATTTGAAGAGAAGGGGATAGATATTGATTTCTAGATTCATTCCAGTAGAAGGAACGCCCCAAAAGAGCAGAAAAAAGTGAATGAATGGAGATATGCACCGCAGACTAATTTGGCTCAGAGAGCGGGGCGGACAGATGAGAACGGGGCCAGTCGTTTTATACCGCAGCAAGCCACGCAAGAATAGGTGGTCGCAGCAAGTCCGCACCATCGCCGCCCGGCTGCGGCACTGCGGAAAATGCTCTCCTGACTCTATTTAACCATGGCACAGATCTTGTGTTCAAATAATGGAGCTTGCTGCAAAGCTGCCAGGGTCGGCAGGTACGATCTGGTGACGAGTTACGTAGCTAAAAATGCAACATAGCTGTTAGCATGCTGTGTGAGTGTGGGAGTCAAAAATATCCCGAACGAAGCACCAGAGAGGAGGAATAGGCATGGGGATAGACATATGGGGATGCTTCACAAACATGTACAATCTGATTCGAGAGATTTCGTTAAGAGAACGGATAATTACCATCTGTCTGTTAAGCTTTCCAGGAATGCCTGCTGGCCACTCCTCTCCCTTGTCCTGCTTTCTTTCATTCTCTTTGCACGCCTCAGAGCAGGTTCCCAATGTACCCCACTCTTCAGGTTTGCATATGCATCGCGGTGTCTAGCGATCCCTAGCAGTTGTGCGCCTTTGTGCGCCCACCTAGGCAACCGGTGTCTAAGCCGGCTAAGCACAGGCAAGCACCTAGCTCCGGCTATCAAAGCCTAGCCCTCTAGGCGCCTTTCGGGTTTAAGACGGGGCTGAATGCAGTGGATATCTGAGAAACATTTTCAGCCATATTTCTGAGACGTTTTCAGCATATTATGAAACAGTTGGTATTTCCATTTCCCTGCTTCACACTCCGACAGCTGTCGGCGACAGCACGTTACAACCAACATAAATTAAATTAAAGCTACTTCAAATACAAAGATAAGATAAGATGCCGGTAAGAAACTAAATCTGACCAGTCTCATTATTTTCAAGAACAGCTGTAATATCATCCTATCAGGTGTCGTGTCGGATATGCAAGTTGAGGGAGAAAAGAGATGCGGCACGAACAAAAATGTTAGGGAAGCATGGGAGGAACATTAATAGGCTCATACTACTGCTGTGATAGGGTTTATCTACTCCCTCAATGCGCAGGGTCTAGAGCAGAGTGTCCATTGGCACCCCGTACCTCCAGTATATGGGGGGGAAAAAGAGAAGCCTGCGGTGGGCCTGCCAGCCAAAAATTTCACCTTCGCATTTGTCTAGTTCAGGTACGGGGTAGTCTAGTCTTACTCGCGCTATGATAGCCATTGGTCGCGCTTCCGAAGCATGTGATCCTCTGGCCGTCGCTGAACGACGCGCCGCCGCGATGTTAGCACAGAGTGAACTGGACCAATTTGATGCTGGAACCTTCCTGAAGTTTTTTCGGCACACCAATTATGCCATGCTTTGGCACCAGACCTCAGCTCACTTTCTGCAACCCGTGTGAACTCAGGCACTGCCAGTTCCTCGGGATTCACCGGCGAACCTAAAATGGGGCATTTTGCACCTTGGATTGGATTGCAAATTTTATAAATGGTTCTTAAACCAAGTTTAGAGCCTCCCGGGAGTTAATATATGCCAAATATTTCGTCTTTTCTTTTTTTAGAAAAATGATTCTGATCATTTGGTCTGACCAGGGAGACTAAGCACGGGGAGTCGAACCTTGGTCGAACCCCGGCTTGCTCCACGACATCGGCGGAACCTGGGACCGACAGGAGCTGTGCACCGTACACCATACCCTATGTCCTTTTTTTTCACTCGGACCTGGGGAAGTGTGTGTGTGTGTAAATTTGACGCTCCTTGGACCCGATTTTCGTGCAGAATTTGTGTAAAAAAATAATGAGGCCCAATATATATGAGATACGAGTTATATCCCATATATTGGGACTCATACAAGACGATGTACGACGGTAGATCCAGGCACGCAGCAGAGGCAATATACTAATGAGGCAAGAGGGGAGGATAATAAAAAAACACGGATGTACATACCACTTACTTATTCGGGCACGGGGAGTCGAACCCCGGCTTTCTTCATCCATCATGTGACGGGAAAAAATCGCAGGAAGGAGGGGTGCCCCGTACACTATACCCGATGTACTTCTCTTCATCTAAACCTGCAAATGTACGTTCGTAAAGTCAATACATACTGGTATCGCAGGCGACCAGAGCGTCGATCCGTGGATAAAATAACATAAAAATAATTCCAAGGCATTATACCCGTCCCACGCATACACGAGCGAAAATAAGGAGGGCCTTTAGAGATGAGGAGGTAAGCAAAAAAAAGTGTGATGGATCGTGCACATTCGGGCACGGGGAGTCGAACCCCGCCTTGCTCCATCGCAATCTTGAACTAGACGAGAGCGAAGAGTGGTGTACCGCACACCATAGCCGATGTATTCCACTATATTTGGACTTGGGGAGGCACGTACGTACGTGAGTCCATTTAATAATGATCTCGAGGCCTGCCACAAAGATCCAATCTGCGTGCCGCATACTGTAAATTGAATTTCAAAAAAATAATCCCAACATGACGCCTCACGCTTATAGGGAACGAAGTTCCGAGGGCGGTTAGATGTTGCGACAGTAGTGAGGGGGGGGAGAGAGAAAAGCGCACCAATCTCAGGAATTCGGGTACGGGAGTCAAACCCCGATCAGCTCCTAGGATTCGACCTGAAGAAATGACCCAAATTTGAGGAGCAGTGTGCCGTAAACTATGCCCGGGTTGCTGGCCATACACTGGACTTGACTAGACCTGAGCAATAATATAATTCAGATGCATAATATTAACTAGACGAAAAGGAAAGGCTGTGAACCAACCGAACATTCGAGCACGGGGAGTCGAACCCCGGCTTGCTCCATGATGGAGTGTGAATAAAGTACCTTATCGTCGATTTAGAAACTCGATTCAGGTGGCCTTAGACATGCGCACCATGTATTTTTGAATTGGGAGACTATTCTTTCGACGAGAGTTTCAATCAGTCAGAAGACCAGTCAAAATCCGAGTTTACAGCGATAAATTGTATTTATGAGCTACTCCCTAATGGCACGTAACACTCCGCCCACCGCGTACCATGCACAAATTTCTCGTATGAGAGCAGGGTCTGTTGTCTCCCGATCACCATTGTGTTGTACGGCGACCACAAGCCAACTCTATGCTGGCTCGGAAGCCAAAGAATGAGTTCCGACGGATTACAAGAGATCCACCCTTTTTCAATCTTCCAATACAGTGGAAACGACGGGGATCTCATGAGGTGGGGCTGAATTTATGGATGTCAACACGTGATAAAGGCGAATCGAGGTCAAGAAGGAAAGTAAAAACTTGCCTTCAGCAGGGGAGGATTGCTGGGACTTGCGGAGCTATTCAACGAAAGTGGAATAGCGGCGTTTTGGGACATCTCGACCCGTTGCATATCCCACACACGGATGGTCTTGTCCTCAGATCCAGAGACGATGTATTTGCCATCAGGTGAGAATGCAACCGACTGCACTGTATCAGTGTGGCCTTCGAGTGGCTCCCCCAGTGCCGTGCCACTCTCTGCATCCCATATGCGGATGGTTCGGTCTTTGGATACAGAAACAATTCGCTTTCTTTCGGGCGAAAATGCGACCGACCGAACCCAGTGTGTGTGGCCTTTGAATTCGCCAAGTGCCTCGCCGCTCTGCGCATCCCACACCCGCACGGTCTTGTCTCTGGAGCCAGAAACGATGCGCTTGCCATCGGATGAAAATATAACCGAGTGAACCAAATCAGTGTGGCCGCGGAACGGCTCACCAATTGCCTCCCCACTTTTTGCATCCCATACGCGGATGGTTCTATCGTCGGACCCGGAGACAATGTTCTTGGAGTCTGGGGAGAATATAACCGACCGCACCAACTCAGTGTGGCCTTCGAACGGCTCGCCAACTGCCTTGCCACTGTGTATATCCCATAATCGGATGGTTTTGTCATCGGATGCGGAGGCGATGTGCCTGCTATCGGGTGAGAATGCAACGGACCGCACCCAATGCGTGTGGCCTTCAAATGCCTTCCCAACCATGCTCCCAGTCTGTGCGTCCCATACCCGCACAGTCTTGTCAATGGAACCAGAGACAATATGCTTGCCGTTCGGTGAGAATGCGACTGACCACACCCAATCAGTGTGGCCTTGAAGAGGTTCAACAACCGCTTCCCCGCTGTAGGCATCCCATATTCGGACGGTGTTGTCGCTAGACCCAGAGACGATGTGTTTGCTATTGGGCGATATTGCAACTGAGCGCACCCAGCCGATGGCGCTCTCGGCCAGTGCCTCTCCACTCTCTGTATCCCATATCCGGATTGTTCTGTCATCGGACCCAGATATGAGGTACCTGCCGTCAGGCGAAAACGCAACAGATCGCACCCAACCGGTGTGGCCTTCAAATGGCCCACCAACTGCCTGCCCGCTCTGTGCGTTCCATATCCGAATGGTGTGATCACTGGCACCCGAAACAATCTTCTTGCCATCAGGCGAGAATGCAACCGACCATACCCAGCCGGTGTGGCCTATACACACTCCATGCTGCATGTCCCCACTTTCTACCCCCCATATACGAACGGTTTTATCCTCTGAGCCGGAGACAATGTATTTGCCGTCGGGTGAGAATGCAACCGACCGGACCGACCCAGTATGGCCTCCAAGTGGCTCACCAAGTCGCTTGCCATTCTCTGCATCCCATAAACAGATGGTTTTGTCCTTGGAGCCAGAGACAAGCTGCTTTCCATTGGGCGAGAATGCGACCGACTGCACCGAGTCAATGTGGCCTTCCAACGGACTACCAAGCGCCTCCCCAGTTTCTGCATTCCACATCCGCATGGTCTTGTCGATGGAGCTCGAAACGATACGCCTCCCATCCGGTGAAAAAGCAACTGACAGCACTGGATCAGTGTGCCCTTCCAGAAGTTTACCGGCTGTCTCGCTGCTCCGTGCATCCCATATCCGAACAGTGTTGTCCTTGGCGCCGGAGACAATATGATCTCCATGGCGCGAAAATGCTACAGAGAGCACAAAGTCGGTGTGCCCTTCAAATGGCAGACCCACCGCCTCACCACTCTGGGCATCCCATAGCCGAACGTTATGGTCGTCGGAAGCCGAGACAATATGTGTCCCATCGGCAGAAAATGCAACGGAATTTATCAAGGAGGTATGCCCTTCTAAGATAGCAACGGTAGCCGGCCACTCCTTCATCTGGCCTTGTGCAACCGAAACTAACTGGGGGAAATATGGCCGAAATTTTGTAGCAATAATTGACGTTGCTGGAGCCATTGCTAAGGCCGAGAGGTATATGTGCGGTGTGCTTTGAGTAATTGCATCCACGAAGAATGCAATAAATCTTTTTGCATCCCCGGCAAAGGAGAGAATTGATTCGCTCTAATGTTTTGTCACTTCGTCAGTCTCACGCAAAGCGAAATAAAATGGCCAATAAGACATACTTCGTTGGTCCACCTAATTAAAGTTGACAGTGCTTGAGGTGCATAACGCACCATCCCCAATAGACTCAGAACCTCCAGCCAAAACAAAAACTTGTTGCAGAGGAATCCTTCTGCCGTTTGTTCAACCTCGGCGCTGTAGGTTGTCCCGGCAAGATGATCTGCCCAGAATCGACATGCGTATCGAAGATGGTTTGGAAGGTATGTGTCGAGCCGCCATTTGAAATCCGGCACGTCAACATTCCGCAGGTATGAGGTCGCCAAATGACAGATATTAAACCGAAGTTCGTTCTGCATTGCACGGAATAGGTCAAATACCAAAGCATGCTGCTGATCTTCTGTGCCACATAGGAGGTCGGGGCGTGTGTCTTGAATTGTGGACGTCATAAATTCCCGGAATGACAGATGTATGATCTGTATTGCAGCTCCAGGAGCGTCTGGGACGCGGATAACGGCACTCAGAGGGTGCAGCGTCCTCCCGAGAGCTTTTATGTCAATTTGGAGTAGTGTCGCCAGACTCTGTGGATCCAGGGGATCAAGAAGCTGTAAAATTGTACTGAGAACCCTCATTGTACGATCCCGATAATCTTGGGCCCGCAGGTCGCCTGAGGAAGGCGCTGCAATGCCGTCATCAACGATACGGTGGTAGAGATCGTGCAGATCGGTGAGCGGGGCACCCCGAAGTAAGTAGTCGACCGACTGCTGGGGATGCTCGTGTGGTAGTCCTGCAAGGATATAACGAATAGCGGTCGCAGCAAAAATGAAGAGTCCGTTAGCGCGATTAGTTATCTCGTCAATATCGTGATGCTGGGCCTTCCAAGGATCTCGAGTGGTCCAGTGGGCGCCGTCCAAAGAGCGCTCGACGTACAGACGGATGTCATGACTGACTATAGTGGAGTCAATCTCATCGAGGTCGAATCCATGAGCTAGAGCACGCAGAGAATCAAACTTGAGATAAGAAGGAACATCTGGCCGTCCTGTTAGAAAGAATAGGATATGTGCTGGGAAATGAGCAATGGTATCTGAAAGCCACCGCAGCAAAATTTGTCCCCGGTCCTTACCGCACTCATCCAGTGCATCTAGACATATGACCCAAGGTCTTGAACTTGGCGGCATGTGTGCAAGAATGTCCACGATCAGCTTTTGAAACTGCAGCCGTGGCTCGGCGGAAAGAATCCCGTTACGGTCGGTCTTCAAACATTCAACAAGACGCAACCTGAAGCTAGGATTGAAATCTGCCAACTGGCGAGCAAGTGTACTGGGGAGGTGCTTGATGTCTTTGCGTTCCACATAGTCCCGCGAGAAAAAAAACGAGGCCGCGAGGACACCTTCCTTCTCTGCCAGTTCGGCCGCGATGCTCTTAGCGATAGTGGATTTCCCCGATCCCGCGGAACCGCTGAGCATGACCACACGCCGGGAAGGATTGGCAAGGCTCGTCAGCTGCGTTATTATGTCTTGGATCACAATGACCCGGGTGCCATTCATGCATGTATCGGGCGTATTTGCCGAATTGTAGCGTGCAGGAACACATGTAATGTTTGCGAGAATGTCTATTGCCCAGGTGAATTATTATTTGACAGCTTCAGAGTGATCAGACCTTTGGATATCATGTCATTGACCAATCTCTCGATGGAAATATTTCCATGG